AGAGAGAGAGAAAATAGAGAGAGAAGAAAGATAAAGAGAAAAGAGAGAAAGAAAGAAGAGAGAGAGAGAGAGAAGAGAGAGAGAAGAGAAATAGAGAGAAATAGAGAGAGAGAGTGAGGGGAGAGAGAGAGAGAGGATAGAGAGAAAGAGAGAAGAGAGACAGAGAAGTAGAGACAGAGAGGGAGGGAGGGAGGTAGAGATTGAGAGAGGGAGAGAGGGAGGGAGGGAGGGAGGGAGGGAGAGAGCGTGAGAATTAGAGAGAGAGAGACAGAGAGAGAGAGAGAGAGAGAGAGAGAGAGAGAGAGAGAGAGAGAGAGAGAGAGAGAGAGAGAGAGAGAGAGAGAGAGAGAGAAGACCACTTAAACGGCTCCACTAAATAGGTACGAAGGGCGTGGTTGTTCAGGCAAGTTGAGGGGAGCGGGGTGGGAGTGGGGGTGGGGGTGGTGGGTGGGGTTAGCCAGGGGGGAGAATAGGGGGGGGTAATGGCGCTCATGGGGAGAAGGCAAAGGGAGGAAGAAGAGATTGTGGAAATATTTAAAAAGGGATGAAAATGTTAGTGGGGAAAAAAGGATGGGCGAGGAGGAGAAGGAAGAAGAGGAAGAATAGGAAGAGGGAAAGGAGAGCGGGGGGGGGGGGGGAGAACGGGGAGAGGGAAGAAGCGGAAAAAAAGGAGAGGGAGGAGGAGGAGGAGGGGGAAGAGGAGAAAAGGGGATCGATGGAGGAGAAAATGGAAGAAGAGAATTAGGAACAGGAGGCGGAAAAGAAGACGAGGGAGACGGAGGAGGAAAATTAGAAAAGGGAAGAGGAGGAGGAAAAGACAAAAAATGAAAAAGAGAAGCAGAACGGGGAGAAGGGGTAGGAGAAGTAGCAAGCAAAGTGGAGGTGGAGTGGGAGGGGGAGTGAGAAGTGGAGTAGGAGGTGGAGTGGGGGGTGGAGTGGGAGGTGGAGGGGAGGGGGAGGGGGAGGGGGAAGGACTGAGTGAGCCGCAGCCTCCGTCGCTGCTGTCAATCAAGCGATAGGAGCGAGACAGGAGCGAGGTGCCTGCGAGACACGCGCTTCCTGATCACGGAGTGTACTCCTTCAGGTTGGGAGGGAGGGAAGGAAGAGGGCGTTGAAGGAGGGAAATGGAGGGAGGGAGTAGCGAGAAAGAGGGGTGAGAAGGGAGTCTCCCCTCCCCTACTCCCTCTCTCCCCTCCCTTACCCCTCTCTACTTCCATCCCCTCTCTCCTCTTCCTTACCCCCTCTACTTCCACCCCTCTCTCCCCTCCCTTTCCCATTCCTACCCAACCCCCTCCTACCCTACCCCCCTCCTACCCGAAATCCCTGCAAATCACTCAAGACCAGCAAACTGCCCACGAAACAGGAATCGGGCGTATATTCCCGTAGAGTTACGTTATCTCTCGGGTATCTCATCGTACAAACTCAAAAAATAAATAAAGAATGATAAACTAGAAACATAATTTGCAAAAGAAAGGAATAATCAAACGCAGATAGTCAACAGGAAAAAAAATCTGTTACACAATATGAACAATTAACAGTTAAAAAAGCTTACAAAAAAAAAGGACACACACTGAACTGTATCAAACACATAAATATTCATGCGTGTGTACATATGCATTCATACTGTATATTTACATTTTATATAACTGATAGCCGGCCTTGCCAATTCAAATTTGCATTAGTATTCGAACACTGTTCAAAAGTCTAACAAAGGACTTTTATTTCAAGCTAAAAAAAATAAATGAAAAAAAAATCAAAGTGAACATAAACTCGGACTAATAGCCATGATTTTTAAAAAATCAGGGAGGAATTAACTTATTTTTGAAAAAAAAAAAAAAAAAAAAAAAAAAAAAAAAAAATGGCGAAAACAAAACTATAAATAATAGCAACAGCAATATAAAATAATAATAATGATAATAATAATACAATATAAAACTATTGTTAATAATAAAAATACTACTACGACTACTACTACTACTAATAATAATAATGACAACAATAATAATAATATTGATGATGATAATAATAATGACAATAACAGAAACAGCAACAGTATATAATCTATTTGTCTACCTACGCCCCTGCCATTGTCTATCCAAACAGGGAGTCGTCTATAAATCATATTATCAGAGATGTGTTAAGGATAAGACACTTGCTTAAAGTATAAAGATAATGCTTTACAATGATATAAGGCCTTTTTTACGTGTGTTCATCATTTTATATTGGTTTGTTTATCATTCTGTGTTTAATAATAATAATAAAAATAATAATAATAACAATAACGATAATAATAATGATAATACTAATAATAATAAAGATAATAATGATAATAATAATAATAATAATAATAATAATAATCATAATAAAACAAAAATAAAAACACCACCGCCAACAACAATAATAATAACGATAACGATGATGACATTAAAAATAATAACAATAAAAATTACAACAATAATAATAATCGTAATAATGACAACAAAACAAATAGGCGACTACACATAAAAAAAAAAAAACGAATCACAATAAGGTGTTGCCATCGAAGGGTCACCTAATTCCTTGCACATTCCAGGGCGCGAAAGAAGGCAGTCAATTTAAAGGTCTGTGTCTCACGGGTCGTTCATCTCTGCTCCCTCCCCCCCTCAATCTTTCTTTTTTTTTCTCTCTCTCTCTCCCTCTCTCTCTCTCTCTCACTTTGCCTCTTCCCCTCTCTCTCTTTCTCTCTCTCTCTCTCACTTTGCCTCTTCCCCTCTCTTTCTCTCTCACTCTCACTCTCTCTCTCTCTCACTTTGCCTCTTCCCCTCTCTCTCTCTCTCTCTCTCTCTCTCTCTCTCTCTCTCTCTCTCTTTCACCCTCCCTGTGAAATTCGTCAACCAAATTTTCTTTCCTTTGTCTGCAATAAGCTGGCTGTCGAGCTGCCACATTACCATTTCTGACGCTGTAATATTCTGGAATCCCCCCTCCCTCCTCCCTCCCTCCTCCTCCCCCTCCCCCTTACCTTAT